AAGCGAACGTCGACATACACACAATTTGTGTAGAGGTGGATAGCGGGGTAAGAGGAAGCATGACGCTTAAAATCTTTGTCGTAATGCTTAAATACAAGCGGAATATCCTTCCCTTCCCCCTGCTTTCCTTTCCCTTCCTTTCGTTAGTTTGTGACAAAATTCAGCAATAACAATAACAATTGCGACCAGAAGGCTCAGCGCACACGCACTCACGCACACACACACAAATAAACATGAATAAGCGTAAGATCGTACAGTTGCAAAAAGGTTTGTCTCCATGCCTCGCAACTATAACGGTAACAATAACTAGACAAATTATGCATGGTTGCAAAAGTTCATGATATGGCAATAAAATAACCGAAAGTCAATGGTTTTTGCCTCTGAAGCTGCAACACTTTTCGTTTTGTTTTCTTTGTTTATATTTGAAAGCCCACAGCGTAGAGATAAGACAATATAAAATGTACATATATATATATATATACATACATATATATGCGTGTTATGAGTAGACAAGAAATTGCTGCGCTTGAGCTGTTTTAATTAAATTCTCACTTTAAGGAATCAGAACATAAATACGAAAAAGTTATTCGAGAATGAGTTTCGTATGTGTATGTGTGTGCAAAAGTGTCTTTGGAAAAACTAGAAAAAAGATTAAGATATGGTCCTGAGCATAGTTAAGCATCTCATTGTTATACTAAGAGTTGGACGATTTTTTTATGCTTAGTTTGCGTTATGGTGTCTGGCTGCTATGCTGACCTTTCGGTTCTTTACAGAGCCAGATGGTTTTGATTCGAGGTAAAGTAGTTGCGCTGGCTGCAAGAGCCGAAAGGTGGGCATTGCATACTATCATTCGATACAACAGGGTTCGAATCCTATTTCCACATACAACAAAAATTATAGAAAATAATTTTTTTATAACTGAGCTGCAGCTCCTTCCATTTGTTGGGACAACATCCAGAGGCGTATTACAAATTGGAGGAGGAGCTCGGCCGAAAATCGCTTTAGCGCTAACAAAGCGCAAATTATATAAATTAGTCGTAGTTATGGCGATTTTTTGAAAACCTTAGGAGGGCAAGTACCCAAGTAGTTATCATGGCGCATTGCCATACGGAAGGCTAGTGCTCAAATCCTGGTACCACCAACATCTGTTAGAGAAAATTAATTTAGTGAAAAAATTAAGTTAAATTATCTAATTGCGTTCGCCCCCTGGGCAGGGAATGTCAACGCCTCTCAGTGTATTTCTGACATGAAATAAAGGCTCCTCATAAAAAAGCTATCAGCCGTTCGGAGGCGGCTTAGTATAATATAAACTGTAGGTCCCTTCATTTGTTGGAAAAATTTCAAGACATAAAACCACAAAATGGAGGAAGAGCTCGGCGCTAGCAAAGTAGGTGTGGTGTATGACATCATTTTAAGAACCTTTTAAAGTTTTCAAACTTTCTCCAGTACTTTGAACAGCGAATGCCTGAATGTTCTGCTCGCATTTGAAATCCGGTTATTGCAGAGGCTTGAATACTTAAAAAAGATCCTTAAGAAACCAACTCCGAGTGGATGTTTGAAAGAAATAATGATTTTCTGAATTTTTTTTGTGATACTTTCAGGACGTAGAAGCTTTCTAACGATGCTGCATAATTTCCGATCTCAATTTCTTTCCTTATTTAAAAGAATTTTCACAAATTTTACACTTAATCCGCATTCCGCCGGTGCCCAAAATTTCTCCCAGTTTCCATTGTTAATCTCACTACTATGGAGCTCTCGGAAAATGTTTACTACTTTGACGTGGTGGCTGCCCAAATTCTAGACCATGGCATTGCTTGATTTTATTAGAAAAACCCTGGAGGCTTTCATTTAGTATTTAATCCACACGCCCTAAAGCATTTCAGAATTCTATTGGTTGACAAGAAAAAAGTGTGTGGACCAGATTTCTTCTTCCTTTTCATGTGATTATAGCCGAATCACCACTAGCGGGGTATTCCTTCGCTCTTTCAGTTGTTTGACGGCAATTGGAAATCAGGTATCTCTTTGGTTCCTCCTTGGGTATGCTCCGGTCTTGAAACCTTCTGTGAGTCGCCATATCTTTTCATAGAACATTCAAACCTTCCTTGTGTTTGTTGACGGTCGCACTATAATCCACATTGACCGGTGCATATTATGGTGGTACGAGTCGATGTTGTATTCTCAGCACGTACGCACGTAGCGGACAGTTGAGACATGCATTTCGTCTATCCCAACATAATCGATTTGGTTGCGTGATTCTCGATCCGGCGATAGTAATATAGTTTGTTCATCTTTTTGTGGTATTGGAGTCCCGACGAGGGCGATCAGCATAAGCCAATTCGGGCATGTTTCATCACGGAAGCTGAATTTTCAAACAGTTTTGACTAATAAAACTTCTTTACCCTACCTACCGTTAAATTCGCCAAGTACAATTTTGAAAACGTGGTGTTGGGAGCGCTCTTTGGCACATCTGAGGCGATCACAGAAAGCAGCTAGGGTCACTTTGTTCTGCTCTTTCTACAACCTAGGTGCAAAATTTGGTTTGGTGCGGATTCCAGCTCTCTCTCTCTCTCTCTCTCCTATCACAAATCCAAAAACCAATTTGCAGCGTAGTAGATTTCACAAAGACCCTCTTTTTTCAATCATCGTCCAGTCCAACGCACTTCCTGAGCGGCTTTGATATAAACCTTTAGTCTTACGATGAGATCAACCAGCTTTGCAGCAGCACCTAGCCAATTAAAAGACCGGGCATACTATTTATATGCCCTCCCTTTCGCGTTCCAAGCCCAAACAACTCAGTTTAATGTCAAAAAAGTTACGTATACGCCATGTTGCCACAAATTTACAATGCATTAAAGAATTTCCTCTGATTCTCGCTCGCTTCCAAGTGCTACTACTCTCAGCTATGACCAACCATCGGTAGTAGAACTGCACGCATTTCGCTTGCCAAATAAAAATCCCCACCTTACACTTCGTTCCTATCGAACTCTCCACACAAACACAAGCGCTAAAAGTATCGAATTTAAAGTTCGACTACACGCACACATCGATGCGGTGGCGCTTGAAATTGCAAGAAGCACCACTTAATAATTCCCATGTTTCAGGTGGGCAACCCGCGAGTTTATTTCAATTTTTCTTATTTACACAGATTCGTTTTGTGCTCTTTTTCATTGCTTCTTCTTTCATTATATGGATTTTGTTTTTCGTTTCTTTTGTGTTGTTGTGCAACAATTGTGGCAAAAATTGTCGATTGTTGAATTGCAATAGTGTTGTTGGTTGCTGGTCGTTGTTGTTACTTTCGAATTTTTACCAATTTCAGCAAATTCTCCATTGCCATTGAATATCGCATATAAACTTGTATGTGTGTTTGTGTGTATTGGCTAATGGCAATGAATTCAATACCAACGTGTAGTGTTTTAGTGGTGGTGTTGCAAGTGCTTGTTCAAGTGAGTTGCAAACAGCAAAAACAAACAAACAAAAGTAATATATATATATATGCATGTGTATATCTATGTGTGTATCGAAGCAGAGAGAAAGTATTTTTTCATGTTTCTACTTAACACACTTTTTCCCAGATATATATATATATATATATATATATGTACGTGTATATGTGTGTATGTGTGTGAGTGTGTGTGAGTGAGATATTTCCCCAATTGCATCGATTGTGCAGCACAGCATGCCTTTGCGTGCTTGTGTTCAACATTGCTGTTGTTAGCATGCATCCACATTGGAATATTGTTGGTTCATTTTGATGAACAGTTATTCAATATTTACTGCTTTCATTTGACGTATTATTGCAATACCTGAGATTGCTTTGCGAATGTGTGGGGCACCTGCTGCTATTCATATGCATTCGCCTACATATAAACTGGTCTGCATAACTCAATCGAAGTTTCGAATTTAATTTCCACTTGAATAAATTGTCAGTTAACGATACATTGAAAGATGCTGGAGCTTGAATGGCGGTAAAGTTTCTAAACTGGCAATTTAAGGGCGGAGTAAATAGAAATTCATTGGAATATAAAAATGCCTAATTAATTTTATGAATATCTACGTGATACGTAGATAATATTTCATAGTTTTCACACGCTGAATACTCACGGCCAGGCTCTCTCAGTTTTTGGCAAGCGACCAAAGATGTGTGCGCTCCAGCATTGTCAAGTTGTCCAGTTGTTCACACACAAAATTGGGCTACGATTTTATTTTATTTAAATTGCTTAAAAGCTTCAACGGCAGTGTTTCGCACGAAGCACTTCCAAGCAGTTGATTGTGCCTCATTTTTGTTATGCCTTCGTTTTTTTTTTTTTTTTTTTTTTTTTTGACAAACTGAAGATTTTACAACCTCGAGCAATCCAGAACATAGCCCTTGCGAGTCATCGCTTCAAGAATTTACCCGTGGTAAGGCATGCTGGGTGCAAAGCGGCAACACTCAAATTTAATAGTTCCTGTGACATTCGAGTCTGTCTACCAGAGCGAACCGTATTTTTCATTGCACACTTTGCGGTTATAGTAACAACAACAGCTGAAAAATTCTTTGTAGTACCGAACTCACTTGTTTTTGCCAATTGTCTTACACCAAATCAGGCAAACAAACCTCACTCTTCACCACGAAAATGCGTGCTCTCACACAGCGTCTGAAACAACCGCATTTTGGAATACTCAAAACATAGATGTGCTGAGTCATCCACCGTTTGAACCTGACTTGGCAGCGAATGACTTCTTCTTAATCCCGTACGTACAAAATAAAGCGAGAGGTAACGTTTTTCGACACCTGAAGAGGCGGTTGATGCGTTCAGAGTGCATGTTTTGGAGACACCTCAATCAGCGTGGCAAAAATGTTTAAAAACAATAACCTTACTATACTAATCATAATAGTTTTCTCCTTTTTCTTGTCTCTCTGATCCCGAAGTTTAAAGGGCAGCCCAGTGCTTTTTAAATTTTCTTATCAAACTTTTTAGAAATTCTAATAAATATTATTTTTCATCTTTGCCTTTTTTCAGGTGTAAACCCATTCAATGTCATTTATGTGAAACCATTACTATTTATGGTGAGTTTGATATATAACCTTTTTGAATATACTTATATATATTTTTTTTTATTAAATATTACCAATTTATAAAACATTTAGTATATAAGCATGTACGAATATATAATTAATCATTTTTAAAAATATCCAATCGGTGTATAGGCCATTAGCCATCAAAGCGAGGAAAATTTCCTCAAACTTAACTAAAACTCGCTACATCGATCTTCTTATGGCAAGGAATTGCCTTTGCTGTTTGGAGGACCCCCAATTTGTGGTTTTGCTTCTTGATGTTTTTCCAACAAATAGAGGGACCTACAGTTTATAATGAGCCGAATCCGAAGTCACTAGTATACTCGGGGGGTTGATATTTCCTGGCGAGGGGCGACAGGGATTAGAAAATTTAATTTACTTTTTTATTTAAACTAATTTTTCATAACCTTTTGGATATAAGTTCGACCTAGTTTGCATGGTAGTTCCTTTTCTTCGGCATTTTGGCCCATCTACAATATTTATTTGTATCCCAAACACCTCTGGCATGAAGTCAGCCCTTAGTATTGTCCTAGTTTTTGATATATATATATAAGACAGTAGAATTTTTTTTGATTTAGCTTCAGTAGCAAAATGATTATCCCATCCAGATCCGCTGCTTAACCGCTGGAAGGAAACTACATACTTCATAAATAATTTTGTTCTTGCTCTCGATCAGACATCATTCAACAGATCATTCGATTAGCTTTTGCCAAAACTTGATATCCTCCTAAATGTAGGCAATAAATACAAATAAATCTTCTCCTTGGGCTGTCAAAGGTGGCTTTGAAATCCGTGAAAATGTAAAGTGTATATATTTTTAACTCACGAATCTTTTCCAAGATATGACTCCTCGTAAATATCTATGGTGGATTTACCAGATCTAAAACTACACTGACAAATTCCAATCAGTTCGTTGACGGTGAGCTTTAGTCTTTTCGGCAATACGCTCGATAGAACTTTATTTGGAATAGTTTGGAAGCCAATCCTAAGGTCATTAAGATTCCAATCATCGGCCATGCTTTCGGGCGACCATATTCTGCAAAGAAGCTAATGCATGCACCATTGAACATCTCTCCCGATAAGCCGTGAGCCATTAGCTTTTGGCCGCTATGTTGTTCTTAAATCACGTTTTCGCTATTCGAACCTCGTTATAGTCTGGTAATAGAAGATCTTTTCCCACATGATTAATTGAGGTTTAATTGAGGATGTTGCGCTTTCATTGTCACTCAAAAGCAAAATGAGTGTTTCCTCCATACACTAATTCATCATCCTAGACATCGGGCACATTTTTACCTCCTGGACTTCTAAATGAGTATAATTCAAGCTGCTTGAAAGCTTCTGTGAGTCCCGAATTTTACCCTCGCCGGTCAACTTCTCAAGCTCTTTATACCACACATCTTACGTTCTGCTTCAGCTCTCGCTACATATTCCACCCCACACTTGTTGTGGTCAGTTTTCCTTTCTGGCCCATCTGAAAATCAATTGTTTTCATAGCGGCTGTACGTGGAGAGTTTGAGATGATACACAGCAGCGGGTGCGTATCTTCGTTGTGACAAGTTTACTGAGTCGATGTTAGGTCCTCGGTACATACTCATATCTAGGATACTGGAGACGTGTCTTCTGTCAAACACAATATGAACCATTAAGTTGCGTGATTTTCAATCTGTCTACAGCAATATAGCTTGAAAAACTTTCTTCTTTGGAAGTCTGGTACTACAGGCAGCAATATTTCGGTACTCCCCGAAGTCACTCAGCCACAGCCCGTCGACCATCCGAGCACTAAATTCGCCAAACGCAAATTTGAAATTTTGAAACTTTGGCATGAGCAACGCTCGTAGGTGTATTTAAGACACTCAAGGAAAGCGTCTATGATCACATCGTCCTTCTCTACTGTCTTAGCGTGGAACGACGGAATCTCGCTGCCACCACAAATTCAACAAAAGATTTGGGCTTTTTTTTACGGCCGCTGCAGTAGAGTTTAGGGGGCATTCCATTCTTAAAACGTTTGTAGTGGCTTACATTTGAAACTGGGTCTGTCTTCAGTGGCATTCGCCTTCTCGCTTGAACTCGCCTACCCAGAGGACACTTTGTCTAAGACCGAAAGTCATGAGCTGCTGCAACCATATGTAAAAGAATCGTTTCCGGCCACTTCCCACTGAGGACAGTCAAAAACTTTCTCTCCTTGCGTGAACTCTACTCTACCCTACCATATGGTCTCCCCCACCACCCAAACTAAATCTTCCTTAATTGCTTAAAAAATCATTACTTTTCTGCAACATGACTGTGCGCCTTTAACCAAATTTAGATTTACACAAGGTTCCGAGCTCACTCGTACCGAGCTCTACTCAAGAACGAGCAACTCGGGCTTAAGTCACTATTTCTCAGAGAGAAAGTACAAAGAACATCTTATTACCACATTCAAATGTTTTGCGTTTCTGTGCACTTCTTCTGCTTAACTTAGCTTACTTCATTTAGCTGTTTAACGTTGAGATAACTGAAGGCCACACATACATATCTACATATCGAAATTTCATCTCTCTTCACATTCACACGAGGAGGTAACCCGCTTTGCCAGTTGTTTATTGATTGTAAAGTAGAGACTCAATATTACATCTGCGAGCTTAAGTAAAATTAGAACAAATTCAGCAGACTGAAAACTTCCTCCCGACCACACATATGTATGTATATACTCAGCTGGAGCAGCAGAAAATCGAAGCTCAGTGAGAACGAAGGCATTCGCCACATTTGACCACAAACAAACAACAGATCATTTGTAACTGTAAAAGGACGAAGTAGTGCACATTTATTTTACTTTATATACTGAATGTAAAATACATACAAATATGCACATATGTGTATGCATGTGTGTGTTGCATTATACGAAACTACTTTAACCCAAAATGCATTGCTGGAATTATTTGGACATATTTATGTTAACACAAGTGCAGATATTATATATACATACAAAATGTTTATGTATTTTTGCAGTATGTCTACATGTGTTTGTGTGCACTAAACTCCTAAAGGAATTTCGGTTAACGGTATTGCCAAAGATTCCACTATTTCAGCAGAGCGTAACGTTTTCCCAGCTATGCCACATCAAAGATAAATACATATGTACATTTATATATATATATAATTCTATATATATCAACATGTCCATACATACATATGTATTTACGTACGTATGCATTGTATATGCAGTTTGCGCCATTTTTCGTAAAGCAGTTGAGTCGTGTTCAAAATGTGGAATTCGCCGGAATGCAAACGGCAATTTTGTACAATTTGTGTGCGAGCGACGACTAAACTACAGCTAACGGCAAACTATGGCTGGCTTATACTGTGAAAAATACATAAATATAATATATTATATATACGCAAGTACATATGTGTGCTGCTTACTGCCGCTGCTTATGCGCCTTGAACTCTGCAATATTATTTCACAGCTTGCTGGCTCCTTATCTTCATCTCCATTCTTTGCGCTTTCCGTTGTTGTACTTGATTTGCTCTTGTATTTCTTCATCTCTTATTTTCTTTCACTTCATTTCATTTATTTCAATGACTTAGCCGGTTGCTTCGTTGGTTTTTTTTTTTTTTTTTTTGGTAAGAACTCCACATTGGCCACACATTAACAGTAACGCAACAACGCGAAAAAAGGCAATAACAGCAACAACTACGCAAGTAAAATCAGTAGAAAAGTATTTACGTGTTGGTGAGAATAGAAATTTTTGGAAAATTTTTCGCTAAATCATTGGTAACGGAGTTCGGGTATGAAAACTTAGAAATACTTTGTACGAGTATATGTTTAAATGTGCTAAAAAATATTCTTTTAAATTGTGTGGAAAATTTTCTAAGACTCTTTTCGAAATGCCACTGCCGCGAAAATTCGATTTTATTAAAATATTAAAAAAAGAGCAAATATTATTTTAAAAAACACTCTTTACAGCATATTACGCTATCTTCTATAAAAAGATTAATTTTTGGTTCAGTTAATTTCATCAATAATATCTCTGCTGTATTGCTTTAATTTTTTTTATAAATATATTATAAAGTCCATAAGCTGGATGCATAAGAACCTGCCAACCATGCTCTCGCAGCTTCAGACGAATCATTATCGATGCGTGTAGTCTGACGTTGCCCCGATGAAACACAATTTCTCTTTCCAGTTGCGCAAAGCCGAGCGCTTCTGGGCGATTGCTTTCTCCAGACAGTCAGAGTGCTGATAGTGCGGAGTAGATGATTCGCCTCCCTGGCCTTAAGTTCAGGTCCAACCTGGACTGTTTCTGCCGGCTCACTGCCCCTCGAACACGAAGCCTCGACAATTTTTTTTATTTTACTTCAATTATAATTTATTTTATTTTATTTTATTTTATTTTATTTTATTTTATTTTATTTTATTTTATTTTATTTTATATTATTTTATTTTACTTCATATTATTTTATTTTATTTACAATTTGTATTTTATTTGTATACTAAGAAAAAATGGTAGAAGTGACAGCTGTTTCGGAGATCTCCTTCCTGCTTTTAAATCTTCTCATCAGACTTCTTACGGCAGGGATTGAACCAACGGACCCTGACTTAACAGGCGAGGGCTCTACCACTGCGGCAACATCAGCTATATAATCTATTGTTGTATTATTCAATTCATCATTAACCAACAATAATTAAGCTGGTATTTTCTTAATAGCTTGGTTAGTGAGTGGTTTTTGGAATTTTTATTTTATTTTATTTAATTTTATTTGATTTTATTTTTACTTTTTTTATTTACAATATTTAATTTTATATGGTTCGTTTTATTTAATTTTTAAATTTTTTTAGTTTATATATTAAATATTTTTGTATTTTAATTTGCCGTATTTAATATTTTATTTAATTTTTTCATTTCGTCTTTTAGTGCAATTTTTTATTTTCTTTAAGAATATTATGCATTAAATATAAAAAATGCTTTCGCTAAAGACAATATTTATACATTCATAACTCCTACATATCT